GACAAGCTGGTGTACATACCCTCTTGTCGGGAGAAACCCCTCCCAACAAGAGGGTATTCATCCCAGCTTGTCAGGAGGAATGCCTCCCGGCGAGCTGGATTGTGCACCAGCTTGTTGGGAGGGATTCCTCCCAACAAGCCATACCAGCTTGCCGGGAGGGATTCCTCCCAGAGGCGTGGCCTCTCTTGGCACTGGGTATCCCTTGGGATACCTGGATATCCGCCAGTATTCCAGGGTGAAGGGTACATCCGCACCCACTGGCGGGTATCCACCAGTGGATAGCGGATTATCCGCAACCACCTCTAATGAGGTTAAGACCATCAGAATCCTGATGGCAATCTTGGTCTGCCCCCCCCCCCAACACAGTGACCGGCCAAGTCCCATTGCTGATGCTGCCGGCAAGCATTTCAAAATCTGTACACTCAATGTATTCTTCCAAACCTTCCAACTCCAGTCAATGGAGTTTTTTTTTCTTAGAAATTCTGCCAAACAAGACCGCAAGCTTTCTCAGTTTGGCTGTCACACACTTCAATTGTAGTGCTTGTCACATTCCAGTCATCACAGCTAACCCCAAAATTTGTCAAAAAGGGGGGGGGGATAGTTTGAGCTGTAGTGGGCCACGAAGTAGCTGTTATTGAGCGTAGTTGAGGGTTTGTGGAATTTTAGTGGACTTCCACTGCACAAAAGCTAAATATCTGCAAGGCCAGTCGTTCACACTAATATAACTTGTTGTTGTGACTGAGTCTCCAGACCGATTCTCAAGCTTTTTGGGGACACAAGAGGTGCAGGAAGAGTAGGTGTTTACAATAACTAGACTAGTAAGGCTTATCATTGCACACTTATGTACGTAAAAAAGGGCATCACTGACGATAGTTCACCAGATCCACGGACCCCATGAACCCAGTTCAAAAAAAAAATGATAATTGCTTGATCAGGAGGTTGGTCATCATGCACACATAAAACCTTATGAGAAGAAATAAGCGTTGCTTTGGGATTTGGAAGGTGGAAATTGTGACAACGAGGAATCAAGATCATGACGGCAGAACAAGAAATGAATTGAGCGAGGTTTTTCTGGAAGATTGGGGTGGAGTTCTCTAAGGGGATTGAGAGAGCGCCGACAACCGTTTGGATTTCTTGACGAGTTCGGAGTTGATGAGCTGGTTGAATTGGAGATGATCATGGATCCCGGGATGGTTGGAGTTCCTAGTGCGTGATCCGATCAGTCGATTATTTTGACTGCTCAGCTCATCTGTCGGTTTCGACGATGAGGAGGAAGAGGATGAAATGGAGGAGGGAGCGGAGCGATTGGCGGGACGGTCGAGCGTCTTGCGGGTGGATGTGGCATTAGATTCAATGATGAAGCGGTCCTGGATCTCCAACGATCGTTTGATCAGGTCTCTTCCCCACACTTGCTCCTCATTCTTGTTGCTCTCCAGTGGAGCTTGGCTGGGCTCCTCTGCTCCCGCTTCCACTGGTCTGCTGTAATACTCGGCCTCTTGTCGGGCGAAACTCGCTCGGATCTGTTCCTCGAATCGTAACGTCCGGAACTCGCTGACCGCAATCTTGTAGGCTTGGTTTAGGTTGTAGCCCTTGTCATGGTATAATCGCTCTGCGAAGTCGATACAGCTGAGGGGGTTTTTTTTATTGGACACCAACAACGAGAAAAAAAAAATGTTCTTCAGTTTTCTTTCGATAGAAAACCAAGTCAACGAAATTGATTGAATGAGCAAGATGTTAGACGCAACTCTTCAGCAGAAGGCCTGCAACTGATTTGATCCAAGCGATCGCAGCCGGAAAGATCACGATGGACTTTAGACAAGAGGTGTTGTGCGGATTCTTCGACGAGGCTGATGGGGCGATAGGCTTCGAAGGGATGGTCTCTGAAGAAAGCTTTTCGGAGTCTGTCCTTGACGACGAACTTGATCGGCTCTAGGTTCTTCTTCTTCTGGTTCGAATGTGGGTCCTGTGAGGGCGTCGGATTGGGAGGGTAGTTCACCAGGGCCGGGTAGGAGCGAGGCGGCTGCTTCAAGAGGCCAGCTTGGAGTTGGGCCGAGATCTGCTTGTGCACCAGAATCGCGTGGTGGCGAGGCATCGGGTGTGGGTGATCAAGCTCGTAAACTGCTACAGTGGCGTTATTCGATTCGTCCTCGTTTCCTGTGATTGCCTTTGGTGCTGTTGGTGAGTTTCAGCGAATCCACGATCAACTCGGAACGACACCCCTCGGGGCGTAAGCCGGACGGGCCCGGGACGGGATAACCTACCCGACCCCGAGTGGCCCGGTGTCAATATGAGCTCAAATGATCATGACATCATGAACCACTCATCCACACCTGATCAAGATGTTTGCATGCTGAGAAAAGCAAACATCAAAAGGTACGATCAAACACTCCAAAGATGTTGGTTGTGACTGTTCATAATTGCCGGCTTTTTTGTACAGAGCTGAAAAATCGCAGATCCAGCTGGCACACCAATGATGGAAATGTCCATCCAGAGAGGCTTTTGTCAACCAACAGCGAATGGTCACTCGCTGCATGCCCCTCTTTGTCAGCTTTCAATTAGCTATACAGAAAGCTACTCCTCAACATTGCTGCACCAATACATGGGGTCTGCTCCCCGCAAACAGACACCCTTGAAGGTGACTTGAATGAACTCCTCTTGGCCACACTTTCCTCCCATTAAAATCGGTTTGCGGACATAACCACTCCGGAGGACGGTCCAGGCCATTGGACCTCTGCGAAGCACTTGCTACACTCCCGTCCCAGGGTACATCCATCTGACTGTCTTGACTGGCCCCGCAGCAACCTCTCCAAACATTCTCATCATGACCTTAATCCCTGAACTTTGGGAAACAGCTGGTCACCACTTTTATATTCAACTCCGTTTATGAAGTCAAGCGTTTTTTTTATTTGGATGGATTAGGAGGCTAAAGTAGCAATGCTCCTGAACGCGAGGTCATTATCAACAAACACTTTCCAACCAAGAGAGAAAACAAAACAAAAACGCAAGCAATCAGACCCGAAACAGCCGCCTAATGAACGCAAAGCTATCAAGAGACTCGTCGTCCGGGCCATCGATGCATATTTAAGGTACTCGTTTCAGACGAGAGCGACGAGTCTTAAGCCGCTTCAGCTTGGCTGCAATTCGCGACATGATTCCCTTCCCCTCCCCCTGACTCTCCCCCTGAAGTCATTTAGAAACAGGTCATTCAAGCGCAGAGATCCGAGACTATGTAAAGCGGGGCCGGGTCGGGGCGGCGTTGAAGCGAGCCCTTTGGAGTCTGTAAATGGATGTTCAGTATCCAAAAATGTGGGGGAACATCCTGGCTTCGCCGATGCTGCGCGTGCTCATGATCATGTCCGTGTGGGGCCGCGCCTTCCCCGCCTCGAAAGAAAGAAAGAAAAAGAGACTCGGTTCAACTTGACTGGGCGCCGTCGCAAACGTGCATCATGTCGAGCCTGCTCCTCCAGTCCACAGGGTACATAGTCATACACATGACATAGCCGATGCAATGCAGAGTCTCATGGACATTTGCGCGAGCGGCGCCCACCGATTCTTGCGTTTTCTTGTCTTCGGTCATCTTGCGTTTCCTATCTAGAAAAAAGTGCGCGATCTAAAGTACACCCGAAAATTTTTTATGGCCTACAGTGTAGATTGGAGGAAGCGAGGTCCTTGGGTGGGTCGATTGCTGATCGAGTTGTCTTTTTGCTGGTGAAGCTGAACCGGCGAGGGACTAATGTAATGTTATGAATATGTATTTATGTATGTGGGATCCGGATTCCTAAAGCCGGCCGGTGATGAATCATGAGGAGAAAAAGAGAATCGGATTCTTCTTCCTGCCGAGCCGGTGATAAAAAGGGATGATCACATCTCCAAAAAAAGAAAAAAACCTTCGGATATGTCCGCGTCAAAGCCTCTACATATCGATCTCAAGATAGATGAGCTCAATTTACAAAAAAGCTTGTGTATCTCTTGACCATCTTCCGCTCCGTCAATTCTTCTTACGTACGACGCGAACCAACGGTTTGTCGGAGATGTTCCACTCTTTGGTGTATCATGCCCAAAAAAGCGCTCCCGGTTGGCGAGCCTTCTGACAACCCCAGGGCCCAAGCCCATGGCTCTCTTTTACTCTTGGCTTGACATAGATTTGTGTCGAATAATAAAAAAAAAGCTTTATATCCGAAACAGCTTGGTGTACAATCTACAGGGGTCTGCCGTTATATGATACAGGATATGGCAGAACGGAGATGTTGCGGCTTGCCATGCAGACCACCATGACTACATAGAGGAGAGAAGACCATCCGATTGTTTTTTTTAAGCCGACCTCTTCCTCGCACTTTCTCTCGCTCCCTCGCTGGCTTGAGCACTAAAAAAAAACACGGAGAACTTGCCTTTTCCTAGATAGGCTACCAAAGACTCCCTTGTTATGTTAGTCAAGCTGGGATTCTTGTTTGGGTCTACTCCATTCCTCCATCTCCGAATCCAGCTGTCACTGTTGTAATACATTGTAAGATTTCTTCCACATTCCATCTCCACGCTTGCTTCTGATTGATCTATCTCTTTGTACCCGCTGTGATCATCGCTTGTCGTCCTCGCCGCTCTAATATCCTCTCCCAAGTTGATAAAAACTTCTCTCTCTTTCCGACCCTACATAGTAGTACCCAATCAATCAACAGACAGCCTCAAAGATACTCTCTACATATTTAAAATCCCCCATCATCCACCCACTCCTCTGGAATCTGGATCGAAATTCGAATGTCTCGAGTCGCACTGCTCTTATCCTTTGTCGGGCCCCTGCTGCTGTCCAAGTTCCTCCTCGAATCCTTCGAGCGCAACCCCTCCTTCCTCGATCGGCTCGTCGTCTTCTGTCTATCCTGGCCCATCGCAAGAGAGATCCGACTCAGGCTCGAGCAGAGGGACTTGCGAGCCAGGGCGAGCTCCCGAGGCGCCCTGCTAGCCCCCCTCGTCTCCTCTCCCCTCCCCTTCGGCCTCTCGGTGCTCTTAACCCGACTGCGGATGATCCACTCCGGCTCACCTGGTGACGTCATCCATCTCTTCAACTCCCGCGTCCCAAAACCCATCCATCCAGATCAACCCACCAAGGTCTTCCGCAGCCGGGTCATGGGCGTCGAGACCATCTGGACGATCGACCATGATGATGCAAAGTACTTCCTCTCAACCGGTTTCCCCAACTTCGGCAAATCCCCTCTCTTCAAGGCCGGCTTCCGCAGACTCCTCGGCGACGGCGTCTTTGCAAGCGACCAACGCGGCCTCTGGGCCTGGCATCGTAGCCTCACCAGGCCTCACTTCGTCAGAGAACGGATCGCCGATGTCGTCGCAATGGAAGAACATTCTCATCGGGTCGCTACCTGGTTGTCCACTCAGACTGACCTCGGAAAGAGTGTGGATATTCAAGATAGTTAAGCCATCATCCATCCCCCCCCCTCTTCGATTATAAACCAAACTGCTCAAAAAAAAAAAAAAAAAAAAACTCAGAAATCTGACCTCATTTATCTACTTCAGTCTTTGCCCGTTACACTTTGACCGTTGGCACTCAGCATCTCTTTGGGAGATGTGTAGATTCCCTCAATGATCTCATCCACGACCGAATCCAAACCGGACCTAATGCGGCAGATTTTGCCCAAAACTTTGTCGCTGCACAGCATTGGGCGATCATCAATTCACTACTACTTCATCGTGGGTCTTGAAATCAGTTTACAAACCAATTTTATCTTCGCCACACTCACATCTCTGTTTTTTTTTTATGTAGCCCTTTTAATTTCACTTGGGTTCCGCATAAGAGATAGAGCAACAGAGGAGGTACGACAGGTGGTTGACACTCTGGTTCAGGATGCGTCGCTCAGCCTAGCCTCCCAGATCAAAAAAAACAACGAATCGGACTCCTCGGACCAAGCCGAGGGAGGCACGGCATCCGAAAACCTACTGGACCATCTGCTGACCTCTGGATGCTCCAAAGAACTCGTCCGCCAAGAATGTTTGAACATCCTCCTGGCTGCCAGAGATACTACGGCATCTCTCTTGAGTAGCTGCATCTACGAACTTGCCCGCGATAGTCCTCGGAAAACTGCGATGTGGAGGAAGTTGAAGGACGAAGTCGAGCGTCTTGGCTCGGGTATCGACGTCACTCTGGATCAAGTTCGGGAACTGAAATACCTCAGAGCCGTGCTCAACGAGTCGCTCAGGTCAGTAAGGCCCACTTCATTCATCTCCCTGATGGCTTGCTCATGATCAATCGTTCCGGGCTTTTTTTTTGTCAGACTCCATCCTCCCGTTTGGGCAAACACTCGACATGCGTTTGAAGATGATGTCCTACCTTCTGGCGTTTTCGTTCCTGCCGGGTGTGTAAGAGACCGACCAAGATTTATTTGACTACTTCACTGACGGATCAATCTTTGTTTTTTTAGGACTGATTGCCGATTCTTCATCCGGGAATTCCAAAGAAATCCCGAGGTATGGGGGAAGGTCAGTAAAAAATTTTCATTTTACATGCTATTTGCCGAATTTATGGTCGTACTGATCCCGAGAGTTACCATGATCACTCAAACAAAGGACGCGGAGGAGTTTGATCCTGACCGATGGATAGATAGCCGAAAGGCCCTGCAAGTGAAAGATCCGTTCAGTTTCCAACCCTTCAGCGCAGGCCCTAGGATATGTCTGGGACAGCAATTTGGTAAGGAGACGTCTTACCTTGAGAGATCCTCAATTTGTTTGAGAGCTCAATGTTTTTAATTTTTCGTTTTGATCATCAAGCTCTGGCAGAGGCGTCGATGATGATGATTCGAGTGATCGAAGGATTTGAGGGGGTGGATTTGGATCTAAGTGATGGCCCCGTCGGCGCTGAAGCTCCCGCGGTTGTACTCAGCTTCAGAGGCGGCCTTAAGGTCCGGTTCAAAAAATAACAGATTATTCACTTATCTTCTTCATCAACACTTTTTCTCCCCAGAAAATTAAAAGAAAACAAACATATTACTCAATTCCAGGAAAAAAACAAACAAAAGACAAGCCTCTAAAAAGTCATCATAAACAAGTACAAAACTGGTTTGTAATCGTTGTTTAACTAGTTACAATAGTTTTTCTTTTCTTTTTTTTTTTTTTTTTGGTATGTATGTATGTAAACACCAAGGTGAAGAAGGACTTGAGTGTCTATGTATTTAAGCCCCCGGTCCTCATATTCGTGCAAAGTAAATCACATTACTTATTTGCGTCCTTCGTCAAGCTCTTTGAAGTTCCTTCATCCTTCATCTTTTTTTTGTTTTTTTGTACGCTTTTGCTTATCGTTACTCAGACTCAATAATAATCAAAACACACACTGTCTTGTGTATATGTTATAATCTACATATATTTATGCTTACATTGGGCACCGACACACCCCCCGAAACAAAAAAAATGTTGATATTTTCTTTTCAAGATTTGTAACAAAAAGAAACAACGAACTTTGTTGTGTTTTTTTTTTTTAAATGCATCTCTCGTGTTGATTGTAAGAGCTTTTTTACATAAATAGGAGTGGTAACTATCTCCTCTTTTGGAGATGCGAACCTTAAAAAGCCAAGAAGCATCTGTAGACTGAACACAACCTCACACCAGGGTGTCGGGTGTCCTCCGGGTTGTTGTTTCGATGATGATAATGAAGGGCAGGAGAATGCAGATGGATACATAGTTTTTTGTTGTCGTAGAGGTCAGCTGGTGGTTGTTGTTTGCTGGTTGTAACATGCATGGACAGCAGACACCCGCCGGGTCGGTCGACACAGTTTTCTCTATCTTTCGCTCGCCCTGTAAATTGCTTCTCTCTGCTCTTCTGCTCTTTGCTCAATTGTTCATCAGTTGAACTCTGGATGCCCATCTTTGTAAGAGGAGTATGTATTTAGATAGACGTTTGTGTCAAGTTTGAAGCTGTACTTGATGATAGAGTCATGGTTGTATGTACACATCCTGCGGTTTTCGATACATAAGGCTTACTTTTTTCATTTTCTCTAACTTCCATTCTATCAAGAACTGCGAGACTTTGCACACTTTCTGATCGGGCGCGCAAGCTTGTTGTCGAAAGACTCATCGAAACAGGCTTATGGCGACCACAGACAGCGTCATAATTGCCAAGAGATGTCTCTTCTTCTCGTAAATATGCTAACTTGACTTCATGTAAAAATACACTGGGAAACGTGCTTATACAGTAGGCCTTGCTCACACTCTAGAAAAACCTTCCACACTTTATTTGAGTTGCCCCGGCTCTTTTTTTTTTTTTTTTTTTTTTTTTTTTTTTTTTTTTTTAAAGTGCTATTGATTTCACATACCGCACTATCTATCTAGCTTGTGTTATGGACATACAAAAATATCTTCTAGAACTAGGGAATAACACGTCAAAAATCAAAAAAGACGAGACCGCAGACATACAAAACTAATTGGCGTGTATATTGAAGAAGATGCAGAAGAAAAAAGAAGAAAAGAGAAAGAAAGGGAAGAAAAGAGAACAGGGAACAGATACCGATAACCTGATAAAAAGGAAAAATCTGAGAACCAAGAGAAAGAGAGGGAAACTTTAAATGGGAGATAGAAAGGAGGAGGGTGAAAACAAGCTAAAAAATTAGGGAGTTTAGTTGCTCTGGAATTCGGAAACCCCAACCCCTCGTCCCGTCCCACCAGATGATTGTATACTCAAAGCGCTAATAGGCCCCCACAACCTAAAGCAAGCTTCTGAGAGAGAAGAGGGTTCCTCAGGTTATCCCCCAATTGCCGTACCGACGACGGGGGTGACAAGAGTTGCGACAAGGCCGACCGGAGAGAGACAAGACCACGTCACGGTACTGTGCGGCCTCGACTGAAGGATCAACTCGGGATCATATTTACAGACGTCTGGTCCAGAGCATGTATTACAACATGTTTTCATTTCCTCTGGCAAACTGCTTGCGGGTTGGCCAGAGCGCGAACGCTTTCCTCTCACTTCTTGATCGCCTGGAGGCTTTTCTGTACATACTCGTCCGATTCTTCGGCTCCCTGGGCTCCCACAAGGCCCTTTAAGCTTGCTACTATACCTTCCTTTGTTTGACTCATTCCTGCAAGTAATTTCTCCTTGATCGTACATTGACAGCTCATCATATCCAGGCCGCTAGACTCGGCATTTGATAGGATTCATTTTACACCCAGAACAGTTTCTATCAGGACCTTGTTCCGAAAGAGTAAACAATAGCATTGCTCTCTGAAAGTCTCTCTTATAGGATGGCAACATCACACTGGTCCCATTCTTTTATCTTTCTTCTCATATTTTACTTATGTCTGTGGACAAATGTGGATGGGCAGGAAGCAAAGCCCGGCATACTGGATGGTGGAATGACCTTTGCGCACAAAACCCAAGCAGAAAAATCAGCGAGGGAAGGCTGCGATGTTCCGATGGCCCCCATGAAGTCCTCACTCATGATCGAGACGCCAAAAGCTGAGCCGGTCCCGTCGGCGAAGGAGAACCCGGTTTCTGAGAAGACGAACAGGTCCCGTGAACCAGAAGAGATTCATCGAAACCCTGCACAATTAGATACGTCCGAAAATCGGAAAAGAAGGCCGAGAAGGACCGGGTTTTTGGCCTGGACTCGCCATCACCTCAATCGTCTTTGGAACTGGCTTTGTCGTCTCTTCAACAAATCTACTTCAAAAGACAAACGAACAGAAAAGTGGGCTCCACAAGCTGATCACGAGATGCTCCAAAATCAAAAATCGGGTATGCCAAATATTTTGTAAAGCTTCAGATGAGATAATTGATCAAAGCTTATGTATGGTTTAAAAACATGCAGATACACTAGAAAACATCCATGAAAATGGTCCAGCCCCGCCAGATGGAGCTAATCTAGAGAATGCCTCTGCTGGTCAGTGGTCAATATTTTCTGTATGGGGAAATGAATCTTCAGTTGATTGATTGATTGTTCTTACATATATACAGGTCACGCAGCTCAAGTATCAACTGGAGAAGCTCATTCAGAAGGGGATGGCTCTGAGACAGTTACTCCTGGTCCTGGAAAAGTGAAACCTGATCCTGGAAAAAACCAACCTGGTCCTCAAAAAACTCCACCAGAATCAGATCCTCCAAAAGTGGAGCATCATGTTGAACATGTAAAGAATGATCCAGAGAAAGGTATACTTTTGGTTCACTTTGAAAGCCATTCTTTTCAAACTAAAACAGCAGACCCTTTCCTGATTTTTTGTTTGTTGTGCTTTTTGTTTTGAGAAGTAAAAGGAGAGGCTTATGTGTTTTGGGAACTGACAGCTAAAAAAATTGGGATTTCACTAAGTATGTCATTCAATTTCGATGAAACTGTCAAAGAGAACTATAATCTGATTCTCAGCCTATTTTTTCACAATGAATATTCTTGGTTTGGATATCTGATTACCAGATGCGGAAAGGCTTGCACTTACGAAAACTGTGATGGACTTATTATTTGAAGCCATCCGACATGGGATTGATAGCAAAACAGCAATCCTTAGTTCGATAGACCCGATTGTCAGGGAAATGGGCTTTATCAAAAAGCGGATGGTCCCCAAGGGCTGCGCAAGATTGTGTAAAAAAATCGAAGAAAACATTGGGCGTCAAAAAGCACTGATCAGGGAGATTATTGGGACTGATCATCATAGATCCTGGGCACAGTTGATGCAAGACACAAACAAGTCTGCCCAATTCGAAGACGCTTTTGTCTCGACATTCAGAGAATGTGACGGGTTCATCAAATCACTTCAAGACTGGAAATATCATAATGAAAGCCCCAAACGTTTTCTTCTTCACATTGAGGAATACACTAGTAAGCTAAGGGCAAAAGCCCCATAGTGTCCAAATTGAAATCTTGTTATGGGAATCCTAATACAACGATTGTATAAAAGGTTCCTATATCCATGATTGATTGGTGTTCATTTTTCTTCTTGGGGATGATCCCAGCTGTTGATTCTTATGCAAACTGGCCTCAATCAGGTGCATTTCAATTCAAGAGTTTAGTTTTTGTCATTTTTTTTCACTCATATGTCCCTCATGATTTATGCCATCATTTCTCTTCCCAACTGTAATGTATTTCTCCCCTTAAACTCTTTTATCATCCTCAATCTCATTCATATATTTTTTTCTTGCAAATCAAACAAATACAAATCCCCACAAATCTCTTTACAATATTCTGTGTTGTTTCAATATACTATGTTCCTACACTTTTAATAACAAACTTATTCTAGAAAAATTGTGAAATTGAATCAAGATCATCCTTTGGAAACTGGTGTCCCACATCATGAGACACCTGAGAAGGCCTCCTCACTGAACTTTTTTTTTCTCTTCTTGAGCAATCAGGTCTACCATGTTCTGTTTGAGGAGCATTCATTCCCAGAAACTGGTTGTGGTTGTGCTGCCAGCAGGGGAATCAGGGTTGACAATCCTAAATTTCCGGGTGTGACCAGCTGAAAACACAAAGAAATGGTTTGCAAAACATTCAGTCTAGCCTGATGCCATGGTTGTTCGTTTGTTTTTCTCTCTTTTCCTTCTCAGAGTAACCTGGTCACCCATCATCCTTACAATGATTGATATAATAGAAGATGCCATAATACTTATGCTTTCCGGTCAATCCAATCTATTTTAGTTGGCTTCTGGCCCGTTGTTGAATTGAAAGAGATTGATTGCAAAGCCCTAGTTCACCCTTTTTTTGATTTCAATCAATTTGTGTGGAGCAGAAGATCATAACTTGACTGGGTTCCGAAAACAGAGGGACTCTTCGGAAGATCATGAGTTCCAAATCTTGATCAATGTCTTGTTGCTGATTGTTACATTAGGATTTTCATTTTCTTGGTCCAAGCTGAGACTTCTGTCCTGGACTGACTCTTGCCATGTATGTTGTTTTGGGTGCAGTTCGATTGATATACTGCTTTACCGTTGGCTTCTTGCCATGAATAAGAATTCTATTTTCTCGATGCGATGAAGCATGCCAAACTTGTCACTCAACACGTACTGCCGCTCAAGGAGGGACAGTGTTGATGGATGGACTTACCCAATTAGCTGGTGCAAGAACATTCACACGGTGAGCTATGAGACGGGAGACGGGAGTGAGGCTGCGATGTTGGATCATTCTTCACCTTCCTTGTCCCACCGGAGCTCTCATGTCGGTGAGAAAGAACAACCGATGAGGTTTGATGATGGGAGGGTGAGGGGCTCCAGAGGACGGCCGGGCGGAATTTCCGGCACTCTCACCGACTTGGACATTCATTCATCTTTCGGTGGTGGATGTGGATATATGTAGCACATCGTTGGTAAGATCCCACCTTGTCTGTAGGACCTAGGTCACAACATCTGGCCTTGCTGCTGATGGAGTTGATGCCGGGCACGGGACACTCATCACGCTAGTACTACTACTAATAGTGCAATGGCTAGCCGGTGGAAGATATAAAGAGGCACCATCTCGGCACCTCTTTCGGTTCTCCTCATCCAACAAACAATATCTCCATCCTGACCACTACCACAGCCAATAAACCCACCTCAAACCCCTATCAACACCCACAAAAGCTCACCATGGTTTCCCTGGCCTACTTGATCACTCTTCTTTCGGTCCTTGTCGCTGTCTCTCGGGCAGAAGAAGTGACTGGTACCAAGGGAGCAAAGGTTGACGCGAAATGGTACGGGAACTACTACAGTTCGTATTCGTATTCGAACATGATCTCTTGGGGCGGTTCCTACTTCAACACTTTCAACCTCAACCCATGGATAAGCACTTGGGGTAACATGTACGGCCCTTGCTTCGGAGGGGCGGCCTTCCCCTTCGGTTACAGCCGGTTCTTTGCCAAGGCCACCGAGGCCGAGGCTCACAGCGTCAGCCGACGGGCTACCCGTCTCGATGCCGAACACCTCTTCCGTCGCGAGTCCAACGAACCGGATAGTGTCAGCTGCCTGAGCGACAAGGGAGCTTCTGAACTCTTTTCCAAGTCGGAATGTGCCAAGTAAATTGCTCTTCCCTCTTCATCTCAGTCTCACCCACCTCATACATCTTCATCGGCGGCTGATCTTCTTCTCTTCCTCATCATCCAGAGCTGCCGAAACCTTGCACCGGGAAAAGGCTCACTCGGCTACCAGTGGAAACTGCAAAGTAAGTGCACTATGTCCAACCATCCATTGATTGCTATCTAGATAGCTGTATTGACAGTTTATCTGCCTGATTTGCAGTTATCTCTCTTCACTGAGAAGGACAAGGTGTTCGCCAAAGACCTGTGAGTAGAGCCTCATCCATTTCCCCAATCATGAACAGCTCCCAGAATGCTGACAAGTTCTATTATCCACACTCAGCCCGGAAAAAACGCTCCAAGACGCCGTCCAGAGCATCTTGAAGTCCTGCGGCCAGAAAAACCAGAGCCCTGGCCAAAAGAGTCACATCGACGACAAGCAGGCAATCATGCTCCTCTCCAAGGCTTAATAATCTTCTCTCTACTCGCTCACAGTCACAACACCCAGTCGTGCTTCAACTATCCATCACTCTATATATTTCTTCTTCTTCTTGCTCTTTGTATCTAATCATCGTGCAAATAGTGTATAAACCTTTTGTGTCCCTCTCAAAATTATTCTTTGACCCAATGTATCATGTTATCGACTGTTGCCTCCAAAGCGTGACGGATCCTGTCCCTCTGCTTCGTGCCTACCCTAGCCTTTGGCTTCTCTCGCGAGACCTTCCTCCTCATTAGCAGTTAGGGAACATTCCTGGAGGGAGTTCATTTGGACCGTGTATTGAAATTTGAGACTGCTTGAGCTGCGAATTGAGTAGTCTGCCCCACCTGAAGTCATGTTGTGATACCGCATACCCTCAACTCTAGCATGATAAAGTTTCAAGTCAGAATTCCTGAAATCACTTATCCGGACTTCACCAATTATGTATCAGCTAACATGCTGAGACAAACTGTCTGGACGGACATCAGTGTGACCCAATCGATCGACCCAGTGCAAAACCCTTCTGGGCTGGAAAACCGACACCGAAATTTGGTAAAACAAAATACACAATCGAACGTGAGTCAATTTCTACGAGCTTTCACCGGAATTGCCCTCGATTCTGTCTTTGATTCAAATACCCATATTCTGAATCAAAACAAAACAAAAAATACTGGAGAGGCCATGCTGGGACAAACTGTCTGGACGGGTATCAGTGTGACTTGGCACCAAAATTTCCAACAAAAAACCTTCAATGGAACTTGATAATCGCATCTTTCGCTGGAACAGCCCTGAATTCTGACATATACATAGTTTTAGCATTTCGTCCCCGATTCAGATGTCCTTATTCCGATTTGAAGCAAAACAAACCGGAGCGCGAAAAAAGTTGATCTTAAAACAGTTGGGCTTCCTACACGCTTGATCAAGAACGTGAACACACCAAACCCACCAGCAGAGTCTGTACTGCATCTCATTACATTTGTCCACCCTTTTAATTTTTGGCAGGCTACAATCTATGTCAGATTATAAATAGGTGTCTCCCACACTGTTCCTGCTTCCCGGCCACTTCATAAAATTGAAGAAGCAAGCAGATACCCTCTTTGACTTCGCGCAATCATTTGAACTACCTTACATCAAAATTTCCTTACACCTTATGGCCACTTAGAAAAGTATTTATTTTGGGCCAAATTAGTACTTACTCAACCCAGACTAGGAAATAATCTTAGTGAGTCCATCACCTCAATTTTTAATCCCAGCCTCTGAATATAAAGAAGCTGATCTAGGACGGTTTTGACAATCTATTAGCCAAAGATCTTTGATTTAATTGAGAAATTACTCCCCAATTTCTTAGGACACAGTATGAAAAAACCACAGCAGTCCAAATATTCCATTTTTCTTCAAGTTCTGATCACATGCTCTTGCTTGTGGCTGAATGTTCTTGGAGAGCAAAATGTTGAAAACCTACTAGATGGATTTTCACTTGTCAACAAGAACAAAGCTGAAAAAATACAGATGAGTGGTGATTGCACTTCAACAAACCCACAGTTGTCAGTCACCAAGTCAGAAACGCCACATAACCAGCTTTATAGAGAACATTCACCCCATTCAAGAATTGAAAACCCAACTTCAATTCCTCACAAAATAAGGCCAAAAAAGAAGTTATCTGGGCCCATCTTGAGCTGCCTGAAACGCTTTTGGAGATGGTTAGTAAACCTCTTCACTAGGTCCAGCCAGAAAAAAAAAGAGGTCAAAGAGGTGGCCCCAAATGAAACAGGTGGTAAGCTTGTTTTACTTGAGCACTTAGCCCTGGGTGTCAAATCTTCCAAATAAAACCTTATTCCAGACCATCATCTTTTTGATTTTTCAGAACAGGCCCTGGTATCACAAAATAAACAAAACAAGGATGAACAAAGTAAGAAATTTCAGAAAATTTGTCCTAATGCTTGGTAAAGTTGATTTCACAGAAGACAATAATCTGAATGTGAATTTTTAAATTTAAAAATTTCCAGAACATTCCCCTGTATCAGAAAATAAAGAGAAGAATGAGGAACTCATTGATACACAGAAACTTTCTTCCAGTGAGTTGTGTTTATCAGTAATTATATCACCTATAATTCCTCAAGACCTAAATCTAAAATTTCCCTTTCAGATTCAAGAATCTTTCCAGAAAACACCAAGAACTCCATATTGAGAGAAGCTACCACTGAGAAACCACCTGGTATTCCAAAAAAAGATAAGCCATCAAAACAGTTGGTTGAAGGTCAATCACTTGGTATGTTGATTTTTAACCTTGATGAAGGATGACCTATAATCATTCAAGCTCTGACTTGAGTTTTTCTTTTAAGACTCAATTGTTGTACCAGAAATCACCCAGAATTCTGTATTAAAGGAAGCCACCTTTGAGAAACAAGATGATATTCACAGAAAGGATGAACCATTGAGACAGTTGCACAAGGGGCAATCACTTGGTATGTTGTAAAATTAGCTGGATGATGATTTCTCTAAATCTTATCACCTGTGATGATGCAAGATCTGAATGACACATTCCATTTCAGATTCATTGCTTATTCCAGAAGATACCCAGAATTCCATATTGAAGGAGAATAACACTGAAAATCAATCTGATTCTCAAATTAAAGATGACTTATTCAAACAGTTTCTCAACGGGAAATCACTGGGTATGGTTGTGATTTCTCTAAATTTTATCACCTGTGATGATCCAAAATCTGACTGTCATATTCCCTTTCATATGCATTGCTTATTCCAGAAAGCACCCAGGATTTAAAATTGAAGAAAGATAACACTGAAGGACAGTCTGATCTTCAAAGAACAGATGAACCACTGAAAGAGATTCTCAAGGGGCAATCACTTGGTATGTTATTTAATTAGCAGGATGATTATTTATCTAAATTTGTTCACCAGTGACTCAGATGATCCAAGATCTGACTGTCAAATTCCCTTCCAGATTCATTGCTTATTCCAGAAAGTAAACAGGATTCCATATTGAAGGAAGCTAACACTGAAAAAAAATCTGATGCTCAAATTAAAGATGATCCATTCAAACAGTTTATCAAGGGGAAATCACTGGGTATGGTTTTGATTTCTCTAAATTCTATCATCTGTGATTATCTGCAATCTGAATGTCAAATTCCCTATAAGATTCATTGCTTATTCCAGAAAGCACCCAGGATTTAAAATTGAAGAAAGCTGAAACTGAGGGACAATCTGATCTTCAAAGAACAGATGAACCACTGAAAGAGATTCTCAAGGGGCAATCACCTGGTATGTTGTTGATTTAGAATGATGATTATGTCTCTAAATCTTATCACCTGTGATGATGCAAGATCTGAATGTCACATTCCCTTTCAGATTCATTGCTTATTCCAGAAAGTAACCAGAATTCCATATTGAAGGAATCTAACACTGAGGAACAAGCTGATGTTCAGAGGAAAGATGAACCAATATTGAAACAGTTGATCAAGGGGCAATCAATTGGTATGTTGTTCATTTAGCTTGAGGGCAATTTCTCAGAATTTTATCACCTGTGATAGTACCAGGACTGAATTTGATATTCCATTTCAGATTCAAGGCTTGAACCAGAAAGCACCCATAATTCCATATTGAATGAAGCTGCACCTGAGAAACAAGCTAATATTCAAGAAAAGGATGAACCATTGAAAAATTTGGTTGAGGTTCAATCAACTGGTATGTTGTTTATTGAGCTTGGAAAAGAGTTCTCTAAATTTGACCAGTATTAAACAATTGGAATATCTCAGAACACTCCAATGGATTTCAAGATCCATCAATCAAAGCTGATGAAAGTGAACAAAAAAAGTGGGTTCCTCCAAGTAAGTGATAACATAAATCTTTTGGATAATGCCTCTAAAGATTGGTAGTCAACTTTGTCTGATGAAAACTGTATCTTATTGGATACATTATCAAAAAACAAAAATGGCATCCATTTCAAAAAATCAAAGAGAGAGAGTCTTCCTTATGGAAAATTCATCTGGATGATAAAGATCCTGAGAAAATTCAATTTGGTTAGTTTCAAAATTGAATTCTACTCCAATTACAAACCACTCAATATTAAAATCATTCCATTGACAGAAAATCAAGAGGCCATAGATTTTTGGGGACTGAAAGCCAAAGAGAATAAAATTTCATCAAGTATGTTGTTTCTCTTGAATCAAAATTTCACAGGAACTCCTGATATATTTTGTTTTCTCACTCAGACTCTTCTCTTCTAAAAACACTTTGGATCTAATCTTACACTTTGATACTTTTTTTTAAAAAAATTCAGGAAGGATACATGTGACAATCAGATTGATGGATATATTATTCCAATCATTCCGTCACAAAATAAAGGCAGATACTGCATTATATGATTCCATCCTACCAGCCTTGAAGTTAAGCTTATTTGAAAAGGGGAAATTCTGGTTTGCTTGCAGACAGTTTAGGCAAGAACTCCTCAAAGGTATCAAACCGCTCAAAGAATCAGACATTCAGAAAAAGATTAATAAAGGTCAATACAAATCATGGGTAGAGATGATGAAGGACAAGAAAAAATCTCAAGAATTGGAAGCTCTTTTTGCCTCAACATTGGAGTCATGTGATGCTCTTTCAAGCTACATACAAGTGTGGGATTATCTTGAGCAAGATCCCATCAAAATTCACACAAAAATTAAAGAATATACAAATGCACTTAAGGTAAAACAACCGTAGTGTTCAAACTAGACAAGATGATAGTTTTGTTGATTGGGTACAGAATTATTTCCTTCTTAATTATTTTACAGAAGCATTTCACATTTTACAGTCTCAGTGTTTAATTTTCATTCCTGTCTCTGTCTCTTTTGCATTTTTTTTTTGGGGGGGGGGTCATTGCATGTGTCTTATATGTTCTCAACTCTCATTTTCCATTGAATTGGGCTTCAAAGCATTTATCTCCAATACAAATATACTCATATTTCTTTCAGATGAAATATGGATGACTTCCCATTGGCATTTACAACCCTCACAGAATTTGATTTACACCACAAAGATGCTAATTTTTGGCAAAACTTCAGAAGCCTTGTAGCAAAGGCCCTCAGGTGTCTAGTTGTGGTTTTGATGGGTGCTAATTTAGAACTGAGAGGGGTCTATAAAGCACTCCAAAATGTGACAGGAAGTCCTACAATCTCATTGCTCTCCTAACAATTGCTTGAACCTCAGGATACAAGTGGGTCAGGTTGACCCACTGGGTACCCGCAACCCAGCAGGTCACAGCGCGGGCTTGAGCAGGCTAGGATTGGAAATTGACCCAGCCTGGATTTAACCCAAAGGGTTGGTGGGGCGAGTACAATCATGATGGAATGTAGTGGGGTTGGCTTGAGATTGACCCACTTGGTTGAAAAGAAAGAAAAATTATTTGCTGGGTTGACCCAGACCCAACCCAAGACCCAACCCAAGGCACTTTGTATTTGGGCCGGGTTTGGTCAAAATTTTACAATTTTGGCCCCGACCCACCCCACCCCACAAATCCTTGGGGTGGTTTTGGTCACCATCTTTTGACCCAAACCCGGCCCACTTGCATCCTGATTTGAACCTGGCCTATTTGGCCTCAAAATGAGCAGTTAGTTTTAAAGCTCAAGCAAAGTTCATTATCTCAACAATCTCTTCCCTAGTAGTTTTGATTCTTCACATTATGCTAGCTCATTTCACCTGTGCTAATTCACCCCTGTAATTTAACATCTTTAACCCTGTAATTTCCATCTTTTGTAGTTGAGAAATTAGTCCAAAAAAAGAACAACAAAAAAGCTTCATACAAGAAAAAACAAATTGATGGTGGCAAAAAAACCAATCAAAAAGAGAGCAAGGACTTGAATGTCAGAAAGCTTAGCGTATGTTTTAACCAGCAAGTGAACAAATAAACAGATTAACAATTACTAATATAACAGGGTAGTTGGATATATAAACAAATAAATACTTTGATGCATGAGCATGCAAATAAATAGTTCAAGGAATTAACTCAAAGATAAATTATACTTTTTTTCAGAGGCTATATCTACCCAAATAAGCAAACGTAGGCAACAATTTTTCCATCCTTGTCCTGAGAAGAGTTATCAAATGTGGCAAAAGTCAAAAAATGGATGTGCACTCTATTTCTAGGGGGTAGGGGGGTTGAGAAAGTAATAGATATCATACCATTAGAGGAGTCAAATGGATCCTAGTCGTAACCAATTTGGATGGATCTTCCTCTTTGGTTATGGATCTATGTTTTTCAGCCGGATGAGGGAAAAAAATGAATTAGCTTGCAAGCAAATCAAGAGTAGAAACCAATGAAGAAGAGAAACAAAGAGAGACAGTAAAAAGGAACTGTGATGTAAAAGGACAACCGTAATAGTGGAAGCGATATGTGAAGCAGAAAGAAACACTTACAGGAAGAAACCTCTTTGAATTGATTTGACTTGACAGTCAAAACTGATGGGCAAGCCACTACATAAAATGACAAGAACAGAGTTCAGCTTCAATGGAGGAGTTGAGAGAGTAGAAGAAATTGCGAACGCCTTGATGATTTTTTTCAAATGAGCACGAAGGGTCGCCACGCTTTCCTTGTTTGTAGTGTTTACCGGCCATACTAGTTCCAGGAAATCAGTCTGGATCAATTTCGATTTGTATATCTCTTTCGAATTCGAGTGGTTTAATCCAAACAAAGCAATCGCTTCTTTTGTTGCAAAGATCACTAAAGAGCTCCACATGTTTTTTTTTTTTTTTTTTTTTTTTTTTTTGAATGGATCGTTAGAGACCGACGTAATTGGTAAGGAAAAGTTAATATGATGAACTCTTACCGCGTCTAGAATCTTGTTGAAAGACCAATAGATGTGAATAGGTAGATTCGAATTGTTTGATGTGATCCGATAAAGGTTTGGGCTCGTGGAACAAGGTTTCGGCGCCGAGGAGTTTCTGACTTTCCTTTTTCGAAGAAGTGGACGGCGAGTGTAGATAAGGAGAAGCCAAGTTTTTGTTGGTTGGGTCGCGATGATGAATGCCAGCCAAGCGACGAAAGAAGCTGGAAGATTTAGCACGAAAAGCCGAGTTATCTTTGCCGAAGTTCGGGTCAAAGTCGTCGAAGGTGATCGAGCCAGCGGCATGATATTCTCCTCCCATTGTGGGGTTGCCTCGTACATCGGTACTGTCAGCAAGATCCCTTGAGGATGTTGTTTGTTCGGAGACATTATTGGTGGGATGTCCTCTCATAGCAAAATGCTGCATCGTCGGCGAAAAAGAATGCTGGCTTAATCCGACATGGTCCAGTAAGTCATCAGTGCTTCGACCGGCACTTCGTCCCGTACTTCGGGACAGCTCATTTGTTCCATGCGAATAGGCATCCTCGTTGTTGGCCATCAGAAATGATAGACCCTTCTGGCTTGAAAGCATCCCGGTCACATTGATCTGCCCGCCAATAAAATCTGCTCCTCCATGTTAGATCACATCTCTTTGAAGGGTATGTACCGATTTACCACTCACATATTAAGGCTCCAGTTACGTCTCGAAAAGGGATGATACATAACAAACAATAAAACGGAGTCCCATCTTTCCGATAACTATTTGTAGTAAGCCAAATATAGATTGTTAGTGTTAGACTAACAGAGAATGAAATCGGCAGGAGCACGGCGACACATACTTCAGTAACAATTCGGTACATCCTTCGCCCTGAAAATATTAAAAAATGAGCAATGTCGATATAATTTGATAGTACATAAAGGGGAAATTCACAATGAAAATGAATGAAAAACTTACCGAGTTCAATCCATCGCGAATTCTCTGGACGCTTTCAGGAGAAGTTCCAGGCCCCTGCAACACAATCCAATCAAATTGAATTGTGCTAAATTGAACCGAGCCAAAAGAAAAGTATATATGTATAAAACAAATGGGGTGCTTACTTGAAGAAACCGACAATTTTTGCCAACGATCGCCTGTCGTTCATACCCAGTCACCTTCGTAAAACCATCCGAAACGAGCACGATGGGATGATCTCTAAAGATATAAAAACATTTGAAAACGTCTCAATTAAGGATTTTGCTACTATTTTTTTGTGATGAGAGAAAAGAAAAACACTCTGACCTTAGTCTTGGGTTGGTTAGACAGAAACAATCGCCTGGAAAATGCACATACATGAATTTTGACAAATCAGTGATGAGCACAATCACTCCGAATATAAGTTTGTTTTAATTCGGAGTGACTTCTCACCTAATCCATCCCGATCACTTTCGTTCAAATTGAATTTGCCCAACTTGACGACGACATTCGAGACCAAGTTTTTCTTAATAAACAGAGGAAATTCGTTCTGATACAAGGAAATCAGGAGCCGATTTTCGATAGCTTTTAAGCCGCCTGTTGAGGCAACACCGCCCTCCACAACCCCCTCCTCCTCCGTTCCGTCCCGATCGGTTCCAATTCTATCGTCATTTTGTTCTTCTTCTTGTTCTTCGTTTGCGAGAAGTTTGAGTCGGTTGATGGATGATAGCAGACTGTTGAATGCCCCTCCTCCTATGCTCATGGAGTCTGGTAAGATCGCATGCAACGCGTGTCGCGAGTCCGGGTCTTTCAAGTAGACATCTGCGTATTACCACCCAAGGGGGGACAAAAAGTCGAAAAAGAAGTAACGTGGATTTCGATTTTATTATTGAATTGTCAGTTGATTTCCTAGACACTCAAGAGTCACAGAAAAACATGAGTGGAAAAATTGAGACTAACCAATCAAGCCGTGAGTGCCAATCTTCAGGAGATTAAGGATCTGATTGACGCCTCTGCAGTCGAGCCAGAGGTCGAGTTTAGTGAGAGAGACGCTTGGGGGAGCGGCGGAAGAAGACGAGGGGGAGAGGCCGAGGATGATGGCCTGTCGAAACGCGCGTCTGCTTGTGGGATCCTCGAGCAGTTTGCGAAAGACATCCAAGTTGATTAATCGCCTGAGCGAATAATCTAGATCTGCCGAGATCTTATTGTTGGGTTTCGCGTCCTCCTCGCTCAGCTGATTGTTTTCGTAGTTTTCGTTATTGATCATCCATTGTTCTCCAAACTCCAGTCTGTTGTTGTTGTTGTTGTGCTGATTTTGGCTCCTGAATGTTTGGCTGGTGTGGTCTTTTTCTCCCTGAAAGTCATGGCTTATCGTCGTTGGGTCTGTTTGATGGCCAGCAGAATATGAAGCGGGACTCCTGTTTTGTTTTGTTTTGGTTTTATTTCAAGTTTAGAAATTTCAAAAGAAAAAGAGTCGTTAGCCGCCAAGTCGTGAATACATGATCAATCGATCAATCAAGAGTTGGAAATAGTACTGACTTGATTGAATTCGGAAGATACCCAGTGGGGATTGGAAGTGGATGAGCATGCTTGATTGAAGCTGATTTCAGATCTTGGAGAGAAGGATTCGGGCCCAGTCTGGGTCGGCGAGTTGATAGGTGGTTAGAGAGATTTAATGTAGTTGTCTGAGGATTAGTTGGATTACTATCCGAGGGAGAAGGAGGAGATGCGGGGGCAAGAGAAGCAGAAGAGGTGGATCGGTGGAGCCTCGTCTGAATATTCTGTTCTAAATTTCTTGGCGGTAGGATGCCTGGCTGATAATAAGGATTTGGTGAATGTATCTTAAGGCCTCCATCCCTTGGAAGTGAAGTGGATGATGAGGTGAATCCTTGTTGAGAATATTCAGTGGGCACTTTCTTCGACGAGGGTGTGTGGGGTGGAGTACTGAGTGAAGTGGGGAAATGTTGATAGTCCCTCAGGGTGGGATCAATCAATTGTTGGTAGTCATCTTCATCTGGAGTGCCCATCTTTCTATGTCAAAAGGAGAACCTTTCTCTAACGAAAACAAGCACAAACTAGTATTAAGTTGAAGTCGACCTGAATGAAGCGAAGAGAGCGCCTTACCGCCTTGCCCCAGGTTTCTTCAGGTTCCAGTAGATGTGCCGATCGATCAGTCAGTCTCCTGGCTCCAGATGGATGTCATAAAACTTTTTACAATCTTTGAAGTCTATCGATCGCTGCTCGCACATCATGCTGAGGAGGAAGACTTAATTTATACACGTTGCAGTCCAACCCTTGGCGGACTACAACAAAGAGTACGTACAGTGGCCGGACACAAGCGCGTCAGGCTGGCTGTTGAGGATTTGAAATGGATGGTGGACTGTCTGACAGATTGTCAGTGTTGGGATTCGGAAGTGCACGGCGGACTTGACAATAGATTGTTGTAGTCTGGTTTGTACACAGAAACTTGAAGAAAATGAACCCCCTGGCTTGACCCCTCATACCATTGGTAATCAACTGTAGTGTTAAGGGCACCGGAAGAATGGAGAAGTCTGGATCCCCCATCATGGATGGAAGTGGAAGGTGGTGTGGATGAAGACCCTGTTCAGCGTGTTCTCGATGTTGAGACTGAGAGAAATACTGGAAAAACCTTATCCATCCTTCCATCCACCCTCAGACCCATTTCCCGGGAACGAGCCGGCTCCGGGAATGGTATTATGGCTATGGCTTGAGCACTCCCATCAGGGCTGGTGACTTGACCATTGTACGATCTCAATTGAGAACTTGAGATCACCTGTGCACTCCCCACTCTCTCGGTACAACCACGGCATCTTCGGTCTTGACCAAAGTTGGCAACTCATATGGCTTTCGATGACCCTAGCGAGCCGCATCACATGACTCACTCGGCAAGACTCAGCAACACATTTGCGCAGATCTGGCTAGGGTCCCTCCCTACTCCTAACGCATTTTAGCTTTTGGCTCTTCGGCGTGGTCCAGGATGGAGATGGCAGCTGGCAGGTGAGCTTTGCCGTTTGAGTTTGTGTGCTACCCTAGTCCCTTGCTGATGTTAATTTGACGCACACTAGGACAGAAAACGGCACAATTATTTCTTTTCTTGAAGGTGCACTAGCAATGATTTATGTACAACAGCTGCGTAAATTGACTGAAAGGTGTCTCTTGACAATCTGGACCGCTAATATGCACTCTGTCAGTCTCGAATTTCATCAGATTTCATCGCAATTGCAGAGAATTGCCGATCGCAAAAATGTGGTCGTATGTAGCATCAAAAAATGAAATCCATTTATGACCGAGGCGGCTGGGCTGGCCGGGCCTGGATTGACAGCATCGGCAGGCAGATGAATGACTCCCTGGCACACGTCTACTTTAGTGGCACCAGCAAGTTTGATGACCTATGGCACCAACGATGTATGTAAGGGTAGTGGGAGGTGAAAATGGAGCTGTGGTGACAAGGCATCACAAAAGCGAGCCACAGCATGTGCCATAACGAAAGTCCATGGCAGCATGAATGAGAGAAGTCTAGAAAAGACCGACAGAATCAAGAAAATTATGATGCCGAATAAGGAAACCGCCCCGAACGCCCCCCCCCCCCAACGAAAAAAATCCAAGCACTCATGCCTCCTTGTCGGTTGTATGTGGACTCGTGGAGGAGGCATGAGTGCTTAGGCAACTCGAACATTCAGGTTGTAGACAAACTCATGTTCCAGAATATATACTCTGAGTCAAAGGTTATGTAGAAAAGGGATTATTTGTTATGATATTTTTGATGGCAATACAATACAGAACGTGTGAGGAAAAAAAAAGTAAAGCAAACTGAAGGAAGTTGAGACTGAGGGTAATGGTGGTTAGATCGAGAGTATGCAAGCAATTGGGTCATCCAGCCGAATAACCATTAAAATGAAAGAGAATACACAAGTTGCAAGGAAATCAAAGAGAAAAAGCCAAGTCCTTGAGGCCTATTTCGATGATGTGTACTTGGTGACACCCTCTGTGTTGATGGGAAATGGAGAGGCTAAGTCAGTAAAGTCGTTGGAGAGGGAACGGAAAGACAGAAAGCTGCAACTAACTTGTTCCTTCTGAAATAGCGTGTTTGGAAAGTTCACCAGGCAGGATTAACCGGACGGCGGTTTGGATCTGGAAATGAGGTACGATTCGGGTCAATGAGGATTGTCCGAAATATTGGAATGATAGATCTTTGAGGGAGAGACTTACTTCTCTAGATGAGATGGTTGATTTTTTGTTGTACATTGCAAGCTTGGAAGCTTCGGTAGCAATCCGTTCAAAGATATCGTTGACGAATGAGTTCATGATCAACATGGCCTTGTTTGAGATACCAGTGTCGGGATGGACCTGTTTGAGGACCTTGTAGATGTAAATACCACTGTGGAGATGCGACAGCCCAGGTCAGTCCGTCGATTCAAAAAAGGCACAGGAGAGGGGGGGGGGCAAGAAATGCTCACTATGTCTCTTTTCGCTTGGTGCGCTTCTTCTTCTTCTCGCCATCGGCAGGTTTGGTAGACTTTTCAGCTTTTGGCTCACTGGCCACCTTGCTGGCTGGGGCTTTTGATGCAGTCGAGGCTGGCTTCTTTTCGGCGGTGGTGGATTTTGGTGGCATCTTGTTGGGGTTGAGAGTGTTTGATTGATGTGGTTGAGGCCTGGGGTGTTGGATTCGAGTGCAGGGTGTAGTGTGTCGGGGAGGTTGGATGATGTGGGCTGATGGCAAGAAAGCAACGCAACACAAGATCCGTATTTATAGCCTGATGGCTAGGGTGTAGGTTGATCTGTGAAGAAGGACTTGTCCAAAATGTGTAGATAGCAACGCATACGCGAACGCGTCGTGAGTGAGGATGAGACCGAGGAGCACGGCTGTAGTGAAGCAAGCGCGTGGTCGGCAATCCACCGGGTCTGTTCTGCGTTCTGATTGGTCAGATCAGACGCGGCGCGACTCTTCTGACTTACAATCTCCGGCACTTGGATTCATCCGGGCCGAGCTACCCCAATCGCAGACATCAACCGGACCTCCTACACTCGACCGAAAAGTACCTGCTGTCAGTCATCAACACCTCCCGACCCGAGCTCGTTCCGAACATGCCTCTTCCCGCTCCCGGTCCGAGAACCGTTTGGTGCCTTCGCTCACCAGCGCCACAGAGTATCAGGCATCATGATATATGTATGGCTGGGTATGTCACCCCGTCCAGACATGATATATTCCAGGACATGAAATTATGAAGACACTCACCATGAGAGGTCAGTTATGTTATAACAAAATACAAACAACTCTTTCATTTCATTTCTCTCTTCTATTATTTGTATTTCCTTGTCTTTCAAAAAAACACATAGACAAGTTAAGATGCCTGTAATACACCATACACGATTCTATAGGGGGGTTCATGATGGGGCTTTGACTCAGTGCCTCAGAGCCGGATTTCACCAATCCTGCACCCCAGACCTTTGCGTTCTTCTGGATATTTAAGATGATATCTTTTAAGTATTTTTTGCTTTGATACACCAGAAGAAGGGGGTCATGGAAAAAAGTAACAGTAAACTGCTTCCCTGTGACGGGGTGTATAAGGGGATTCCCTGTCAAAACCCACAGGGATTGGCAACAATGCGCCACTACTCTACACTACAATATCCAGACATTTGGGTAGTGTAGATGTGTCAGGAGGTGCCCCGCTCACCCGAGGGCAAACCTCCTGTACATACTGAAGATGCGGGAATACAGATCTCCTTATGGTAGGCAATGGGTGGTTTTTGCAGGGTGAAATAAAATATCTGGATTATCTTGAAAAGCTACCAATCCCAAAATTCCGCTAAGTCCCACATTCATGACACCCCCCCCCTCCCCCAGCGCCCTGCCCGGCCATAATCGACCCTTACAACAGACATCACCCCCCTTTACACCAGACATCACCAACCCTTACATAACCCAGACAATCATGTGATGGTTTACTTCCCCGGTAAACAGAGTCTCGTCTTTCACACAGCTCACTCCTCCAACCCAGGGTACCGTCTTTCACAACACCTCAGAGTCCCACCCGGTCGGTCACCCCATCTTTCACAACTCCGAGTTTGGTCCCGGCATGGGCTCATCTGTCACTAACACTCGGGTCAGCTCCCTCCTCGCCAGCTTATACACAATTGCCTCACACCACATCACTCCTCCGGCCCCTGTAACAACCGCGGGTCCAACTCACTACCCAAAACACCTCACCACATCACGCAGTGCCACATCAACCCATGTTAAAAAGGTCCACATATGTTTGTTAGCCATGTATCTAGCTTGATTCAAAAGAAGCGTAACATATCATTTCCTCTTCATAACAAGAGATTGCACACAGGCTCATGTTGATACAGGATAGAGAGATAGAGAGATAAACAGATAACCAAGAGAGAAGTTGGCAATCAAGAGATATGTAAGCATCAAAACATGTGCAGTCAACAGTGATGTAAAAAAACAATCAGAACATAGAGGAGAGCACAGGCAAGCGGACAAGGGAGAGAGCACAGGCAAGCAGACAAAAGAGAGAGCACAGGCAAGTGGACAAAAGAGAGTTCAGGCAAGCAGACAAGGAAAAACGGAGAAATTGCTACTCTTTGTCTTTGACCTCGTCCTCACTTCCATCATCCTCGTCCTCGTCCTCGTCCTCGTCCTTGTCCTCATCCTCGTCCTCACTTCTGTCATCATCATTGTTGTCCTCACTTTTGTCATTGTCCTCAGACTCAGAGGCTTCTGGATCACTCTTGGAAGAAGACTCAGAGGATGTTGTAGCTTCTGACTTGTCATCTGTCTCAACCGTACGAGATCTCTTAGAAGTGTTGGGTTGTTCATCAGCATCACACCCACTCTTAGCACCCCTACCCACTGCTATTGTCACCGCCTTGCTTGGACCAGCTGTTTTGTTGGGAACAGTCACTTTTGTCAGACGAACTTGTTTCTTGGGATCACTTGGTTCAGGTGATTTCTCCGCGGCTTTCTTCCTCGCCAGAAAATTTGTTAGCGTTTTCTTTTTGCTGACAGTTCCTCCATTACCGCTAGTTGCAATCTTCTTCTTACCGCGACCATGGTGCTTTGCCGGTCAAGGAGAGTTAGGCGGACTTGCTAAAGCAGTCCAGCCTTGCTTTCTGGTAACTGAGGTAGCTTCTTGCGGTAAGATGACAGCATTAGTGGTGTTGTCTTCTGCTTCTTGATCTTGAGTTATGTTACCGGATGGTACCCCCCCTTGCGAGTTGCCGTGAGCAGTCACATCAGCATCATCAGCCTCACCAGCAGCTACTACATCCACACCTGAAGAACCTGGATGGCCAGGTCCTTCAAGCTTGAACCACCCCTTGCCAATCGCAACCTGTAGTCTCTTTAAATCCCCATTCCACTTGGGCACAGGAGCTCCACAAAACGGGTGTTACAAATAGATTGTTGTGCTTGACCCACATCTTCACGCCAAGTTCTTTGAGCTTTACCTTGGTGTCGCTTGGCCAACCTTGGCTGTATTGTCGACACGTTGCATTTTCTACCAACACACCATCAGCCGTTGCTTTTGAGCTATTGCATTAAAGCAGACACAAATGTACTTAGCGCGGTTCAAAGTTTTTCTCAGACATTGGAGAGATTCTTGTCTTTAATACCTGTAAGTTGTAACCGTAAGTCAAAGTGATCAGTCACAATTTCTTACCACTGTTAACCCAACCAAGATACAGGAACTAACCCTTATCATACACCCCGTTTTTAAAGTCCTTTTTACCCCTTCTTGGCTTACGTGATTTCTTGACAGGCGGCGGGTCCTTCCTGGTCAGTTTCTTAATGGCTTTTTGACCATTAAAAAACTCCACAAAGTCCTGGCAGGGACCGGTTTTGAAGTCTCCTTCAACCATGTCAATAAACTCTTGTCCCAGGTGACTGCCACCAGCAGTTATCATACTTTGTTTTTTGTGCCGCGATACAAAGACCATGAAACCTTCCGCTTGATAGGCTTCTGAAAGTCGCCTCAACTAAAAAAAAAAATTCAGTCCCAATAGAAACCGATTAGATGATCATTTAGATTGACTTACATCCAGAAGGGTTTTTTTGGCCCATCAATCGGGTTTCATGTCAGAATAAGCTTTCCTTTGCACTTGTTTCTTTCCCTGATCAGCATTTTCAGCACTGTCAGGATGTTGATCGGCCTCGACAGACACTGCTGGCCTCAAGTAAGGATTAGGTAAGGTGGAAAGGAAATCTGGATCACAATACTTGTCTTTGGTTTTCTTATCCAACTTTTGCCAGAGCGCCGCGCATTTCACGGACTGTGTTTGAAAGGGTATAGTATCTGTAGGTATTGATGTAGGTAGATCAGAAAAAGGATCGATGTAGGTAGATTGTATCTCAGGCTACTTACGATCATGGTGGATAGGAGCAGCTTTGGGATTGTATGAGCAAAAATTATTGTAGTTGCTTGGACCACAAATCCATGTGTTGTTACTGTTGTAGGTGTAAAGCCTATGGTTTCATTGCCCCCCCCCGATTCCTCCTCTTGAACTCTCAATACTCCAAAAGTGGAGTTTGTACACCAGCACAACACCCCCCCTCAAACTCCACTCCAGGCCTACAACTGTTATAAGATAGAAAATAATAGAGAAAAAAATTGAGCATAAAAAATTGGACCAGATAAAAATATGTGTGTTCAATCAGAAAGAGAGAAATCAATGAAAATAGTGAAAAATATCAGAAATGGATGAGATAAAGAAAGAAAAAAAATAAATGAAAATATAAAAAGAGAGCGGTTTTTTTTTTTTTTTTTTTTGAATATTTTACACATTGAAATTGAATGTAGATTGGCTTTGAGAGGTTTGGTAAAGAAGTCGGCTATATTCGATGATGTTGAAACCCAGTCCAGTTGGATGTTGTGTTCTCGAACCGCATCATTGACAAAAAATAAATTGCGCTCTAAACTTTTCATTCGACCTTTTGAAGCGTTGTCGTCGGAAACCAAAACTGCAGCCCTGTTGTCACACTTGAGTCGTAACGGTGGACTTAAACCTAGAGATTTCATGATCGGAATGAGAAACAACAAGAAATTGACGGAAGAACCTAAGGATATGAATTCGGCCGCACAAGTCGAAGTTGCCACAACTTTCTGACGTCGAGAACCCCACGCAATCGGACTGCCTAGAAATGTGATGATGAAGCCTGATGTTGACCGTTGAAATTCTCCACCCCAATTCGCATCCGACCATGTAATCAATTGATCATCTGTGATTTCCAATTTCAGGCGTTTGTCCCTTGTTGTAGCGAGGTATTGAATGAGATGTGATAAGGCCGCCCAATGAGTGTCATTTGGATTGGAGCTGAAACGCGCCAGATAGTTAACCGCAAAGCTGAGATTGGGACGGGTGCCTAATGCGAGATAGTTTAGTGAACCGATGAACGATTGATAAAGTGTCGGCAAGACTGGATCTCCCCAGTTTGTCACAAGATTGTCGCCCAGTAGGGGGGTGTAAGTCGGAATCAATTGACGCTGAACTTGTTCTTTGAATTTGTTGATCGTTTGGTCCACCAGAAGATGTTGACTGAGATGAATCAAATCATTGGAATAGTCCAGTTTCAAACCTACAAGTTTTTCAGGTTTTGAATCCCACTTCACCCGCAGACTACTTTCAAGATTTGACCGAAGTTGATTTAATGAATCATTATCGTTGCTGAAAACAATGCCGTCATCAACGTGAATCCAGATTATGATAACCGAATTCCCTTTTCGATACCGGTATAAACACTCCTCGACTTCATCAAACTCAAAATCCCAACCATGTAAGAGGCTCTTGAAGTGCTTCCACCAACATCGACTAGCTTGCTTCGTCCCGTATAGTGCCTTCTTGAGCTTGAGAACCTTCCCATCAAGATGGGGAAATAGCTCAACCGGAGGGTCAACATAGATAGTTTCGTCGATCGGGCTATGTACAAATGCCCCTGTTATGTCAAAAGAATTGATTATCCAAGTATTCCTAATGGCAAGCATAAGAAGCATCCGAAGCGTTGTGAGTGAAGCCGTTGGAGCAAAAGTTGAGCGGACATCGATCCCAAGTCTCTGCTTGAAACCTTGCACTACAAATCTTGCTTTCAGTTTATCCACGGATCCGTCTGCTTTCCGTTTGATGTCAAAAACGAACCAAGTTCCTATTGGATGTTTTGAGTCACGGTCCTCAACGTCAAAGGTTTCGATTTCCTCCAGTTGATTCCACTCAATTAAGCATGCTGTTCTCCATTTGTCTGCATTCGGAGATTTGAGAGCGTTGCGGAGAGTTGTTGGGATTTCTGCATCTGAGATAGCTTGAAGATGGTCGATTTGAGAGTCTTGCTCCTCACAGATTTCTTTGGTCGGTTCCTTGCCAAGTTGAAGGATTCTACAAATGCAAGGTTGGTCAGGAAGTTCTTTTGGTGAAGGAAAAATAGTTTTGTTTTGGAAGTCTAAAAAGTCTGCACACTCTGAGTTGATGATTTTCTTGTTCTCTGGATTCCAGAAAAACCACCCGCGTTTGTCATCTTGATAGTTGACAAGATAACCAGTCCAGCCCCACTGATCTAGTTTGCGCCGCCGCTCCGTAGGAATGTGCACTGTGGCTCTGGCACCAAAAGGATAAAATGAGTCAACAGCCGGCGTCCGGTCTGACCAAAGCTCTAGAGGTGTAGATTTGCAGCGCGAGTTTGAGAGTCGATTGGTAAGAAAACATGCGCAGCAATAAGCGTAAGACCATAATGAGGAAGGCAGTTGTGAGTGAGTGAGTGTGGTGCGAGCTATATCACCAAGCGTTCTGTTGAGTCTTTCGGCTTCACCATTTTGTTCGGGAGTGTATGGTGAGGTGAAGATTATCGTGCAACCAATGGATTCCAAGTAATCTTGTAGTGCCTTGGAGGTGTATTCTTTGGCATTGTCACAACGTAAGTATTTGGGGGATGTTTTGAAGTGAGCCGTGATACGTTTAAAGAGAGAGATGATAATGCCGGGGACTTCTGAACAGGATTTCATTGGAAAGACAAACGAGTAGGTCGTGGCATGGTCCCTGATTGTAAGTAGGAATCGATTGCCTTTGATGTCGGGATCAAGAGGTCCCAACACATCGGTCACCAGTAGATCGAGCCGGTTGTCTTTAGGGATTATTTCGGGAAGAGAGTGGCGCCTTCGAGTGCTTTTCGAAATTTTACAAGATTCACAAATGAAAGGAGTCCAAGTCTTGATGTCAAATGTTGGAACAAAACGTTTCAGGTAGTCCTTGACAACTTGGTCAGACATGTGTCCTAATCGGCAGTGCCATTTGTAATAGGGAGAAGAGATAGAAAGAGAATCCGATTTTTTGACTGAGTTTATTGCCGGTGTCGGACGTTGCCATGAGTTTGGGAAGATTATCCAGGATCGTCGGGTGTATTTAGCAATTACTGAGAGGAAAGAAGAAGTTAGAAGGATGTCGTTGTTTGGCAAAAAGGTTGGCTTGAATCCCGAGTCGATGAGTTGGCCAAGTCTAAGAAGTGTTCCGGTCATTTCCGGGCTGTACAGAACCCGTGGAATCATTAGGGAACCATCCCCACTGGTTATTCTCAGGTGTCCACTGTGAGTCGCCAGCATTGAACCGTCCGAGGAAGCCAGATTCAGTTTGAGTGGAGGACGAAGAAATGTTAAGTTAGAAAAAGATTGGAAAGATCCGCTCACGTGATGGGTCGCCCCAGAATCCAAAACTGTGCCTGCATCGGCAGCACCTGTCGCACCCGCATCCACGGCCAACCGAACTGCCGCATTCTGGTCAAGGCCGGTGGGTGGGCCGTTTGGAGGTGCAGCCTGACGGGCAAAACCGGAAGCGGGGCGACCTGGGGTGGTGGTGTCGGGTGGCGGCAAGTTGGCATCCCTGCGTAGAGTCGGACATGACGATCTCCAATGCCCCGATGCACCACAATAAGAGCATGGTTTCCCATTAAAAATGGTCGGGTCACTTGGGCCGCAATTACCTTTACGAATGTTGTTGATGGCAGCCGCAATGTCATCAATTGTTGGGTTGCCTGGTCGTCCAACGCTCTGTTGTCGATTGTTGATGTTGGCGGGGTTGGCTGAAATCGGCTGGTTTTGTTGATAAGGGCCACGTCGGGGGTTGCGAGTCGGATTGTGGGTTTGGCCTGGGCCACCCCAAGCTGATTGATTGGGCCATGTGTTGAGTTGTCATGTTCCATTTCACTCTCTTTTCTTTTGTATGCTACACACCTGTCACATCTATGTTACAGTTCATGTTGTACACCTGGGTCAGCAGTGAGCTCGTGGAAGGATCTCTTTCTTCATCCTTTCCACCATCTCACTACTGGTCCCAGGTAAGTCATTTCTTCATCTTCTGTTTCTTTTCTATCTGTTTTTCTCTTTCTTTCTCTTTCATGATCAATCATCACTGAAGTAATGAATTATCCTTTCCACCATCTCACTACTGGTCCCAGTTGATCTCATCACCATGTGCGGAATACCGAGACGCCGTTCAAGGGTGATGAATCAAATTGTAAGGCCTCACCGTAAGCCGAGGTAATGATAGTTTGAATATCGCGGGCCGTAACGTCAGCCTTGTTGCCGAGTTGTAACGAGATGTTTTGGAATAATTGCGATCTTGACATTGAAGATTGCGGGGGAATGATGGATTGGAGGATGAGGTTCTCCACGAGAGGTGAAAGTCCAGTACCCGCATTTTGAAGGCCAGAGAAGGTCTCGAAGATCTTGTTGAACAGACCTGGAATTTGGGTCAGATTGGTTGTGGGTCCAGATACCCGGAACTCGAGAAGTTTATCGATGAGTTCCATTTGGCGAAAACAAACGGTGCCCTGGAAATTGGATTGTACCGCATCATACGCTTCAGTTCCCTTAGTATATTGGTCAACGAGGGACAATAATTCATCGTGAATGGTGATTTGGATAAGGAAAAGGAGACACGTGTTTTCTTGTGCCGTAAGTTTGATATAGTTCTCCGTCTTCTCAAAGAAATTCGCATGGCCGAGGGTGAGTAATATGATACGCGTGAGACCACGCTTCCATTTGTCAAAGTTAGAGCCGTCGGCCGCAAGTTGCTCAACATCTTGTTTGTAAATGCTTGGTTGCTGAAGAAATTTAGTCCTGGGGGTGATCTCGGATGCCGTCAATGCTGACATTGGATGAGGTCGGTCGATCGAAGATGTTTGTCGAGTGGGAGGTTGTATTGCCGTAGATGATCTAGGAGGAAATTGGGAAGTAGGATGTGGTAAGGGAGACAAGAAAGGAGAAGGAGGTCGGTTGACGTTGGTATGAGTAATTGGGGGTGTGTGACGTGGAGGGTCGTTGTCGGTCTGATCGATGCCGGAGATGCTGAAGTTGCTTAGGTTTTTGATAAGCGCACCAATGTGTTCAGGTGATGAATGATCTTTAGACCCGACGTTAGGCGGGGTTGGTGGAGGTGATGGAGGTAGAGGGGGAAGTTTCGATAGTCGCCGGAAATCTAGTTTGCGTCGTCAATCAAGAATGGATATTGGTTTGCAATGGCGGGTTGGAGGGGGTAATGGGCCGAATAAGATGTCATTTGTCGAACGCCAAGTATGTACCATATAACTTGATATGTTGGCTAGTTTGTCGGGTAGAGCGATCTACTCTTAATCTGTTGTAGGTGTAAAGCCTATGGTTTCATTGCTCCCCCCCGGTTCCTCCTCTTAAACTCTCAATACTCCAAAAGTGGAGTTTGTACACCAGCACAACAGTTACCAAGGTGTTCCAATGCCGCACCGGGGTCCAACTTGTGAGTGATTGCCATTGTGTGGATTTCGCATTGGTAAGCCACATAGATTTCCCAGAGCTCCAGTTGTTGCTCCACAGTAATACGTGTTGTTGTCGCAAACTTGCAAGCTAGGCGGCGCAGTTTGTCAAGAAATTCATCTTTATAGAGAGCAACAACATCAGGCTCAAGCCGTCTACTAGAAGTTTGACTGACCCCATTGCCAGAGGGAAGATCACATGGAGCCGCATCAGATTGTCAACCCAGTTCATGGTTTTGATTGGGTTGTTCTGGCTGAGGGCTGTTGCGGGTGCTTGAGGAATCAGCCAGTGGCTGATTGACCACGGCAGATTTGCCTAGCGTTGATTTTCCACGCCCACAAGAGGCAGCACCACCTCATGGGTGTTTTGCAGTACTTGCTCCCCGGGCTCTTGAGCCCCTCCCTCAAGCAGTCCCACGACCGGGTGCTCCTCTTGCGGAGTTTGATTGCTGCTGTTCATGAGCGTCTTTGGCATCTTGAGTCAGTTGCTCCCAACTCGGCAAGGGCATAGCTGCTGGAGGGTGAGGTTGGGATGAGCTTGACACCCAACTTGGAAAGGGCTTAGCTGCTGGAGGTTGAGCTTGGGACAAGTTCAACAAGAGCAACGTCTGGTTGCTTGCTGGAGGTTGTGCTTGGGATGAGTTTGACAAGAGCAATGTCTGGTTGCTAACAGCATGGCTAGTCGGCTGAAAGGGTGAATGACTATTTGGCTGTGAAGGTACATGGATAGTTGGGTGTGATGGTAGCAGAGTTTGATTCGGTAAAGAAGATGGCTGCAAGTTGAGTGGATTGTGGTATTGATCAGGTGCAGAGTAGTGAGAGTTTGGGTGTGTCAAAGCGGGGTTTGGTTGGGTGTGATAAAGAATGGTTTGACTAGGTTGCGAGTAAGAATGTGCCGTTTGAGTTGCAGTGAAGTTTGGATCGAAGTAGGCCGCAGTTGGTTGATCGCTTCCAATGTTTGGATCAAAGTAGGCAGCGGTTGGTTAATTGGTCCCGAGACTTGACTGCGCAAAAGAGCAGTTGTTTCCGGGTGGATAGAACCCTAGTTCAAAGTAGAGTTGATCATGATCATCATCCAGCAATCCAAATGGAACTCGGTCCATGGGTGTGAAATTCTCAAAAGGCTGAGACCTTGTTGGTGGGCCACGGCCGGGAGGATGACTATTGTGAGGGTTTGACATGGCCGGTGGTTTAATGTTTAGGGGTTAGGGAGGAATCGTGGGCAAATCGATTTCCAATGGCGCAATGCCACAAGGTTTGAAGTTGGTGGTTTTGGTTGAGGAGGTGCTGGGTTTGGAGGCTTTAGGTGATGAAGGAAGCGAGACGTTGGAGGATTTTCTTGAGGTTGGTGTCAACTTTGGTGGGAGGTTTGATGAAGCAGACAGCAAGGAGTCTGCACCACTTTGGACACTGGCTCTCCGGGAAGCGGCTCGTTGAGGTTGACCAAGACTTGCACGTAAGCATGCAGACTGGCCATCAGGTTTATCTATTTGCCGGCGACCTGGCAGCATAGTTACAGGAGTAGGAACACAAAGAATACTTGTCTTGTGGTGGAACTATGGGCGGGAGTTGAATCAGATGGCCAAGGGTCCCTTGGATTATAAAATTCCAGCTTACAAAGTAGTTGCACACCACTGCTACTGACTAGAATGGATTTTGCCTCTGTCTGATCAGCTTGTCTGTGATATTCATTTGGTCCGATCGGCTTATTCTTGGAGTTAAGTAGGATTTTTGGGTGGGGTTTAAATTTGAATGAATGGGATTGATACACCATGAAAAATTTGAGGGCAGTACATGTCAGGTGACATGAAGCTAACTCCTGCCTGTATTTCAGTGTTACTTCAAAGTCAAAGGGTTGGGACTCCCTGATGACCACAAAGGGAAAATTGTTATTTGAGCAGACAAGCACCAGAGTAACAATGGAGTTGTAACATATGTCACTTCATGTCACCTGACACCTACTGCCCTCAGATATTTCCTGGTGATTTATTCGGAAGTGGCAACCATAAATTTTCATCAATTGTTCCGCGGAGTTGGATATCGCATTGTACTGGCCCCTGGAAAGCAAACTGAAAAACAAGATATGCACAATCAGTAATAAGATATTGATTACGGATCACCAAAGGTTAGAAAGATAGGCTTACAACTAGTTCCTGATGTTGATTGCCCGCGCACATTCTCAATGTCAATCGCAAGTGTTCAAGAGGTATGTGAGCAAAATGAGTTGAGGGTCAAATGAGCGTTGAATGGAGAGCAAGAATAATAACCTCCATGTTAAAAGTCCTATCAATACTCAAAAGTTAAAGGTGAATTCCGGATAAATGCAGCTGCGTATTGTAATAGTAGCTGCGCAGTTGCCGGATTACAAAGGATAATTGAGTGCTGGTAACTGCTGATCCCCATCCATCAGCCAGTACATATTTTTGCCAGGGCATTGAATTTTCAGATTTTTGATTGAAATTTTACTTGTTGTTGAAACATTGGATTAGTAACAATCTGAGATTGATGACAAGTGTTAAATGCCATATTGTGAAATTGCAATGATAAGTATAAAATAAATAGTTATATAAAAGCTAAAAAGAAGATAGTATCCATCAAAAAAGATCACCTAGGGCAAAGCTTTTAAACACAAGACCATGTTGAAGGAACTTGGACAAGACACTTTCTGTTGATGTTCAGAAGAGGGGCCATTTCAAGTGTTTGTTTGAGCTGAACCCCGTTTATTTTGAATGTTTTTTTTTGAATCTTAGAAGAGTGCGCATTGATTGTGTTTTTGAAATGTTGTGGGTTTTTAAACAGTTGTTATCATGTTGTGAAAAGGTCCAAAGTGTTGTCATTTTGAACAATTGTGCTTATGTTTGTGAAAAGTTGTGCTGTCAGAGATGCAGGATAGTATCCACCACAAGCACATCACTTATGGCAAGGCTGTTGAACATAATACACTTGCTCCACTTTCTGTTCTAAAATTCAACAACACATCCCAGATCTTTTTCATGTTAAACTCAACATGGATTTGTGTTTAACAGCCTCCAGCCAAAACAAATCTTGTTCAACTGAAAGTCTCAAACATCACTCCACAGCTTATCACAAGTTGTCTCATTCAAGTTACTTCAACATGGGTGTGTGTTTATGTGTTTGTGGCGGATAGTTTAATACATCACTGCACAGCTTATCACAATTTTCTCATTCAAGTTACTTCAACATGGGTGTGTGTTTATGTGTTTGTGGTGGATAGTCTAATACATCACTGCACAACTTATCACAAGTTGTCTCATTCAAGTTACTGGGTTTTGTGTATGGTGAAGAAAAGTGGTTGACTTCAATATGGTGCAGAAAAGTGGTTGGCTTCAATTTACGTCTCATCAGTATGTCACAGGTTTGTGACAACCTTGTATGTAGTCACTCTAGGTCATCCAGGAGTTTGTGGAAGTTCTCTTTTCTTCACCCTTGTAGAAACTATCTGTCTGGCCTAGGTGAGTCCAGTTTTTCTTTCTCTCTCAGTTTCTCTTCTCATCTCAGTGGTGCAATGAAGCTCATCCTTCCATGAACCCCCTTTCTGACCTAGCTTAATCACAACAACTGGTTAAGGGATAAATTTATTCTCCCTTCACCAGTGTTTGTTTTCCCTCCCAGCTGGAAGGGGTACAGTCTTGATGGCCGAGACAGATTCCTCTCAGCCATCAAGACATACAGTCTTGATGGCCAAGAGGAATTCTCTCCACTATTGAGACATACAGTCTTGATGGCCAGGAGGAAAACCTCTTGGCCAGTGAGACATACAGTCTTGATGGTCAAGAGTAATCCCTCTCAGTCATTTAAACATACGGTCTTGATGGCCAAGAGGAATGCCTCTTGAGAAAACCTCCCAAATGTCAAGACTGCACAGCAGCCAGGAGGTTTCTCCCCCTCCTGGCTGGACAATTGACACTTCATGGCCATAGAAAATGTATGCTCTCCATGGCCATCAGAGAGCAGATTTAATAAAGACACTCTGGAGTGTCTTGATTACATTAGCCTAGTTCTGTGGCATGCAGGCTCACTGCCCAAAAGGAAGAGTCAAGGATTGTTGTATGCCCCTCTGCATGTTGGTTTTCAAAAGGAACAACACACAGAGGGGAGTGTAACTGAATACCCACCCCTCCAAGAGGGGCATGTTCTACTGCATGCCCCTTTGGAAGGGGCAGGGGAGTGGGTGGCTCTGAGGGGGGAGGGCCTGCATTTGTCAACACCCTTTGTTGACTTGAGAGATGAATGGTGCAATGAGGCAACCTGGCAGAAAGTGAAAAAACTCATTCCAACTCTGATATAGTGGCTGGGATTGAAATTATTGCCAAGAAAGGAAATGAAGAAAAGTGTAAAAACCCTGGTGTGGTAGTCAAAAATTTGAAGAATTCAAAGTTTTTTCTTATACATATATTTTCTTCATATTATCATACAGCGCAAGAACTAGCTGCTAAAGATAACTTCACCCTTGTTCACCACAGAGGCCTCATTGGAACACATTTGGACCAAAACTTATCCCATCATTAAATGTCACCAATCCCAATTACAACACTCAAGCTACACAGATACCCTCAGTACAGTACAGCCCCATATTTACATACAAAATCATTTACATACATCTAAACATAGTTCTCTTTCACTTATATATATTACATAATCCATGCATGCATTTCCTTGCATGAAAGCTGCAGCTGACACTGTCACATTTACTTGTAAACACCACAGAACCTGACCAATCAGAATCATTCTTCAGCTGTTGGACTCACCAATTTTACTTTTTACATTTCTGAACAATCATATTCACTCATTAAAATTATGTATGTAGCTAAAACCACTCATGTAATATCCCAAGCCAGCCAAACTCACTCATTACTGGCTGCCCTGGAGCTAAATTCCCTCACTTTTGTCTATATAAGGAGGCTCTCCTCCCAGTTTTTGTATCACTAGTTTAGTACCACTCAATCAAAGACATACCACTTTTACAGAACCTGTTGAA